TGATCAAGTGGATCTGTTAGTCAAGTGCTCTGGGAGCAGTGCATGATCTTACCACACTGTGTCTGGAGGCCTCAGACATGGCCCTGCTGGAGAGCGTGTACTTCTCAGACTCCACTTTGGTTTTGCTGACCCCTTTGCACCATTTCCTGTATTGCTCCCAGACCTGCAGAGACAAAGAAGGCTCTGGGTCAGCTCACTGAGAGGAGTGAGATGGGCAGAGTCCTGAGTGGGAGTCAGACAGTGGTACCTGCTGGCTGAGGAGTCAGTGCACCAGGAAGATGAAGACGCCCTGCAGGCTGTTGATGATGGTGAAGAGGTAGGCCATGACGTGGGTGGCTGGACCCACCTGCAGGATTCCTAGACACCACGTGCAGCCCAGGATGAAGAGCTGAGCTGTGGCTTTAAATGTCAGCATCCTGGAGAGGAGGAGGAAGGAGGCTCATGATGCACCCAGAGCAACACAATCAAACCATTCTCATCTGCACTCCTGCTTTCATCTGCTGGTAATGAATTCTCAGACTGCATTGTGATCAGCTTTGATCACTGACAGTAAATCAGTGATTTCTTAAAAAGAAATTCTATTTGGGTCTGGGATGGCATTTTGATATGGGCTGAGCATGGTAGTGACACCTCATATTGTGTGTTTCAGAAAGATCCTGACGTTTCATGATGATCTCTAATTTCATTCCATTCATGTTACTGAGGGCCTTCTCTGCACCTGGCTCTGTGCTGGGGCCTGGGTACTGAAAATAATAAAGACAAGATCTCTGTTTTAACAGATCTTACAATCTAGTGGAAGGACAGAAACAAATGATCGCTTACAACATTTGTGACGTGCAACGTACTCTGCCCTGGTCCCCTCCAGTACTGTTCCCATGCTCACCTTCTCCGTGAAGTGACCCAGAGCATCCTATGCCCAGAATAGAGACCTTAATTCTGTGAAAAGTTGAGGAAAGCAAAGAACACCCCCAAACTCTTAGAAGAGGTAATAAGTGGTAGACGAACCTGATCTCCTCAGGTGGAAGAGTAGGAGAGGGCAGAGGGAAGAGCATGCATAGAGGTGTGGGCGTGAAAGGGCATGCTGGGCGCTGGGGACAGTGGTGGGATTTCCTCCGTGTGTTATAAAGATATCAGTGTTCGTAGGACCATTTCCATAGAGCCACAAAAGTAATCCCTGTTTATCAGAACACAGTCAAGTCTCTGTGTAGCTCAGGTGCTTTCACGCTGGTGGTTATGGATGGACGGAATGCCCTCGGTCTGGGTGTCAGCAGCAAACTACAGTATCAGAGCTGACTTCCAAGGAGGGTGGGTGCACCTCTCTCCTCCAGTTCCCTCAGAGTCCCCGTGAAAGGACTTCAGGAGCTTGGGGCCATATGGCCTTGCTCCTGGACCATGCTTGGTGTGGGAGGGATGGTGTGCGCCCTGTGATCCATCCTCACCTCGTGTTCTGGAGGGTGGACACATCGCTGTTGAGTGAGGAGAGCTTGTTTTTCATGATCCAGAAGGTCATCAGAAAGAAAGACAAATTGATCTGCAGAAGAATATCCCCACAAGGCATATTAAATACATTCCACGTCTGCTCAACCTTCCTCCTAGCTCATCCAACACCTAACCCAGCAGGTGAGAAGATTCGTATTTCACAGCAGTCCTAGAAAATCAGACCTAACACTTGGTAACTCAGACACTTTCTTGTCCTGTAATTTGGGTGACCAACTTGTCCCAGTTTGCATGGGAATGTCCATGATTTAGCAATGACAGTCCTATGTCTCATGAAACACTTTAATCCTGGTTTTCAAACTGAAATTCCTACATCCTGGGAGCCCCCTCAGTCCTGGGATACTGGAACGATTGCTCACTCTACCCATAACCCTCCTTATACACCTGCTCTTTGAATGACCCTCAGCTGGGCAGGTAGGAGGCCCTGATGTCATCTATTACTCACTGACAAGATGGTGCAGATGGGGCCAAGGAAGGCCCATATAAATCCTTCATGTGTGTCGAGCCAGCATCTAAGAAAGATGAAAGAGATTCAAGAATATGTTGGTCTTTGTGGATCAAGAATTGATAATCAAACATATCCTTCACCTCCCAAAGTTTCCTCCTGCCTCCTTTATTATTATTATCACTATTATAGCATTATCATTGCTTTTTTGATAAGAGTATTTAACTTAAGATCTACCTAGTCAGTAAATTTTAGTTATACAATACAGTATTGTTAACTATAGGTGCTACGTTCTATAGTAGATCTCCTGTAGTTATTTATCATGCATAACTGAAACTTTGTATATACCCTTGATGGTGGTGATGGTTTCATAGGTGTATACTTATCCCCAAACTCATCAGGTGGTATACATTAAATATTTACAGCTTTTTACTTGTCAATCAGACCTTAAAAAGTGGTTTTAAAAAAGAGATAAATTCATTTTAAAATCTCTTTTAAGTCTTGGCATCAAGAAATGCTAGCAGAATAACATATACATTTTTAAAGAAAAAAAGAATCAAAAATATATTAATTTATGGTTTATTTGACAAATATGGACTATCTCCTCTATACCAGGATGTATGCTTGGCTCTGAAGCCCCAGTTGTGATTAAGATAGAGTGGTCTCAGTCCTCTGGGGGGTCCCAGCTGGGTGGAAGGTCAACAATCAGGCAGTAAAAACAGTCAAAATGAGGAGTTTTATGATCAAAATATGAGGATCTGTGAGAACGTGGAGCTGGAACCATAGCCTAGTCTGGGGTGTAGAGACTCAGAGGGTTGGGAAGGTTTCCTGAGAGAAATGAATGGTGTTTACACTGAGATAAGAAAGATGAGTAGGTGTAGACAAGGAGAAAAAATTTGGGACATGACAGAAGAGAAATGAAAAGTAACGGTTACCCTGACAGAGTACTGAGCAGGGATCCTGTGCTTTACAGACTCTCTTCCTGATGAGGACATAGGTACTCAAACCCTCACAGGTCAGGCGTCTGAGGCCGAAGGGAACAGAGGCAGTAACTCAAGGCCACACTGATAGAAATGACAGAATTGGAATCTGATCCCAGTGAGGGGACTGAGAGTGAGGAGGGAGGTGTGAGGACCATGGAGAGGTGGATCCACGAAGAAGAATGGAAGAGAAAGGTGGCAAACTGCAGCCTGTGGCCAAGTCGGGCTGCCGCCTGACTTTGTGGATGTGTTTTCCTGGGACACAGCTGCAGTCACTCCCTTACGTGTTGTCTATGGCTGCTTTTCTGCTACAAGGACAGAGGCGAGTAGTTGGAACAGAGACCGTATGGCCCACAAAGCCGGAATATTTACTATCTGGCCTTTTCAGATAAAGTTCTCTGACTTTTACAGTAAGCTATCCAGGAAGGCTAGCTGGCCTGTGGTCATCTGGTGCAGGTGAACATTAATCTTATTGTATAGGACTACGTTGTGAGTGTCAGACGGGATTTGATCCCACCTCTGCCACCAGGCAGCTCTGTGATCTTGGCCATGTCAGTTAATCTCTTTGCGCCTCAGTCTCCTCATCTGTAATATTGGCATAATACTAGTCTCTAACTCAGAGGGTGTTGGGACAATGAGCTGACACATGAAAAACATTCAGAAAAGTTATTGCACATCAGAGGTGATTTATAAATCTTAGCTCTTGTACTAATAATTTCATCATCTAAATTATTCTCCATTTTTTTTAATTAGGAGAGAGAAATAGGCTACACAAACCAATTCCATCCCTTCATTTCAGTTTTGCTTTCTTGAAGATTTAAAACAGTCTCCTCAATTAATGCAATGAATATTAAATTATTATACATTTACTAATAATGAGATGCAATTAATATTATACCCATACATAGTCATTAATATAATACATAATTAATATTTAAAAGACGAATCTAAAAATCAAAAAGTCACCTTATTTATTTTAACTATGTTTTATTTATAATTATTAATATATGATTTCTTCATTTTATTGTAGTTATTAATATAATAAACAGTTAACATTATATAAATATATCATTATTAACATAATATAATGAACATTTAAAACAATTAAATCTTGAGGACTTAACACAGTCACTTCAATGAACACAATCATGACACCAGGAAGACATCTCTGGAGTGATTACTGAGTTTTTCTCTGCCTATCATATTCTGGTGAAATTAAAGTGCTCTGTTGGTTCTACGATGGCCATGGTTGTGCTGGAGAAGCAAAGGACAGAGGGAATTTGCATTTACTGGGCGGGTGTTCCATAAAGGTGAGGCCTGGATGCTGCAGAAATGGCCACAATCACAGTCGGGACCCCGTAGCCCACAGGGAACATGAGCTTCCTCATGAACCTGCTCGCGCTGGAGTAGTTGACCACCATCAGGTTGCGAGCAGTGAGGAAGAGGTGCAGGCCCTCCAGCAGCATCCAGGTGAAGGAGGCCAGGTAGAGATAGTGTAAGACACCTGCGATGAGGGCGCACAACACCTGGGGGTGGAGGCAGGTGTCAGCAGGAGGGACAGTCATGGTGGAGGGTGGCCCAGGACCTCTCCTGCACCTTGCCCCTGGGGAGGACTCTGAGGAGCATGAAGGAGTTGTCAGAGAGGGTTTGTCTTCCAGTTGCATCAGTCAATGTGAAACAGGTTACTCACCCCTCACCTTCCCCGAGACACAAGATCATTTATTACAGTGTCCAGTTCAGCGTGGATCCGTGCAGAGCCCCTGGGCCAGGGCAGAGGGTCCACTGGGACAGGGTCAGTACCTTGATCTCAGTTTGGTTGATGGCCGTGAGGAAGAGGAGGTGGGCCAGGAGGAGGCAGAGGGAGAGGGGCAGGTGGAGCGAGGTGCTGGTGTTCTGGATGGCTCTGCACAGCAGGAAGGTGAGGGCCGCCAGGAGGAGGCACAGCAGAGAGAGGCCCAGCTCCACGTAGGAGATCACAGCCAGCACGGGGTCCTCCTCCTGGGAGTGGCAAAGAGGAGATCACATTCACAGATTCCTGTTCTTGGGTAATGACCCTTCCACCACTTTTTTTTTAAGCATAGCAAAATTAGGAAGTAGGGAATCAGGTAAATTTATTCTATTTACGTATGTTCCTCCAGGTTCGAATGTTAGAATACCATGGGATTCTGAACTGATTATTCAGACCCTCTAAGAACTGAGGGCTGAGAGTCCTTACTCAAGACCAAGCACTGGAACTCACAAAGTTTGTTTTCCTTTAGATGTCTGGGCATGGCTAAGCACGTGGGTTCACATGTGAGGTCCATATTGGTATAAACCTCCATGTTCAGCGCCATCCTCCATCACATTACGTGATGCTGTGTGACAGAGTCTCCACCTGGAGGCTAGATGTGCAGGTGCCAACTCTCCACCATGAACTCCACTCAACTCATCCCAGCAACACCTGTTCCTTACAGATTTAGAACTGATCCTTGGTTAAGGGAAAGAAACTACTATGCTTTGATGATGGTGGTGGCTTAAAATCAGTATTTCCCTGCCTCTTTTTGCAAATCATCTTAAATCCATGAGAAGAATGGGGAAAAATTTAAAACTTCACCAATTCCATTTCAGTATAATGAGGGGAGAGAGAGGTGGTGGAGGTTGGGAGAATGTGCAAATGGTAAGGAAAATGGAGGTAAAATGTTTGAAGTAGGTTCATCTGGATAAAAAGCAATTGGGTATTATTTGCACTATTTTAATTTTTGCAACATAGCTGTAAGACTGAAATAGTTTCCTAGTGAAATGTTAAAAAAACAAATAAATAACAAGCCCTCCAGATGATTTCAATGCATACTAAATTTTGAGAATCTTTAGTGTAACAGCAAAACCTAATTCCCCTACCATATAGACAGATCCCACAAATCCATAATAAATGCATCAATAAGCCAATAGGAAAATGGACCAAGGATGTGAACAAATTGTTTCCAGAGGAGAGGCTTGTAAGACTTGTAAGATCCTGAGCAGACAACCCAGCTACACCACGGAGGACTGCTGACCTGCAGATACTGGGGGATAATACATTTGTGGTTTGCTTGAACTGCTATGTTGTGGGAATTTGTTACAGTGTGATGCACACTGAATGCAGCCCTCTCAGAGCCCTCACCTGCACATCGTAGTGGGCCATGAGGACGGCAAAGCTGCTGAGGTGGGTGCACTGGCAGGTGGTGCTGGTGTCTCTGGTGTCCACCACCCTGCAGCCTGTGGTGGCCCAATGACCATTTCCATTCTGGCCACGCTCCCAGAAGACACAGAACTCCCTCTGCCTTGGCCCAGGGGTCACTGACTGTAGGAACAGGGAGTAGGTGTGAGCTGGTGGTTCTGGTGCTCAGAAATGATGACTTAACCTGGCTCATGTAGTGCTTTCCTGGGGAGATGATGCACCCATAGGGGAGCCTCCCTGAACCTTGAGGCTGTACCCAGGACTCAGGAGTCTTCCACACCCACACCTCCATCCCACCTGGACTCACGTGGTTAAAGATGAAGGTGACTTGGAAGCTGAGGTTCTGGGTGTCATTGTTGCTCATAAAGGCGGTGA